ATTCAAAATGCTCCGCTTCTCTAACCATGACCACAATGTGCACATTTTTATGGGGTTTCTCTCTAGCTTTTTTTCTCGGTTCCGAATGGGAAAGGGTCTAACGGGATACCATGTTAGGTAGAGAATTACTCCTCTATTCTTGACAACACAGTGGTTGATGTGATTTGACAAGAGGTTTCAACACATTCTTGAAAAGGCAGCTATAATGTTCAGCGCAACATAGAAACACTGATTTTGAATTTATTGCGGTAGCATAATTTATCAGGAAAGCATAGTAATTCTTATGGTTGCAATGATCTGTGTGTGAGTGTTTTACACATGGGGTACTTGACAGCAGGGTTAAATTCTTGGTGAATGCGGAATTCACGATTAGAAGGCAGCCCATAGATTAAGGTAGAGGTGGTCAGTGGTGCCAGAATGAAGAAAAAAAACCATGAGAAACGGCCCAGAACCCGAGAAATGGGACCCTTCCTTGCCCGTTGATTTCCGCATTGATGCGACTCTCATCGGTGCTGCCCTCTTCAACTAACGCTCTCTCTCTGCAAACGGCTAGAGACCGCGGCGAGTGGTTAACCAGTCGAAGAGCGGGGTTCCTAATGACCTACTCCCATTTTTGCACGTCCATATTCGGAGTGAAAAAATCAATACGTTAGTACATACTGGTCAATAATTCAATGGGGAAATCAACGTAAATCGATCCCTATTTCTGTGTTTTGAAGGTTCCTTCTGAACAGCGACCACTCGTTCAACTCCACAAAGGTCAATAGATACAATGGAAGATAAATTACTCTTTTCAATCCCGACCACCCGCCTTTTGAGTAGGCGCTATGTATTCAACCTCCACGCACAATTGGGCTGATATCTGAATGCGTGAAGGATTTATGTGGCACTGTGAGTAGTCCAAGTCGGTTGATCCCGTGATTTTTCGTAGGCGAGTCTGCCACTAACGAAGCAAGGGGTAGAAAGAGAGCCGGCCTAAATAAGATTAGATTTAGGACTTTGAACCACGAAGCCATCGCGCAGCAACCTGCCGCTACTTCTCTCTCGTGCACCTGAAGCCAACATTTTTCACAACTCGGATGTGCAGAGGAATGAAAGGGGGTCTCATCAAAATCTCCAGTAAAGGGGGGTTGTCGTATCAACGCAGCCGCTTAACGATTTCCCTACTTCTGTAGGCGATTCCTGCTTAACCTCCATTGGAACTTCGTCCTGCCTGACACATTTTTAACTGTTTTGAGTGTTGGAACATACATAGGTGGCAAAACTTATAGGACGCAGATGAGAGAACAACATTTAATACTCTAATTTTGTGAAGCATGAAACTGCGAAGATGTATTGGCCAAACCTTACAGCTAGCATGGAAGTGGCCTCAGTACATGCAGTGGTCGCTGTATATACAGGGGGGGGCCAAAAAAAAAGACATTTTGCCTCCACTTCCAGATGGATTTAAGCACATTTTACTCAACTCAGACCGAACGGTTCCAACTTATTATTAAAGAGTGCATTCCATTCTATAAGAAAATCTTCATAGTGGCCACGTACGTGGACGGCATCAGAAGAATTAGCCCTGGAAACATGGTGCACTGGTCGATCTCAATGGGGTCTTCGAAGGATCGTGTACCATAACGACCCTTACTGGAAAGCTAGTTCCGAGGGGATTTGCACAGTGGTAGCTAATGCCTCAGAAACTAACCAGTGGGGTGATTGAAGGACCGCTGGTCCACGCAAGTCCATGGTATCGCCATCAGTTCAGTCGATGATCGATCATTCATAAGATGCCACTGCGAAATTAGTACAAATGGAAAGTAACGCGTGCCGACATTATCCAGCGACGGGACTGGAAGAAGAGGATGAGAGGCGGATTGCGAGTCAACAAGCGCAGAATTGCTTATCCTTTTATTCCATTTTAATCATTACTGCAAGCGGATGAAGAAAGAGCTATTCTTAGTGTTCATGATCTTTCTAAGGCCGTTATGTTAAAAAGGAGTACCGGTGTGACCAGGTTTTCAGGCATAAGTTTCTCTATCACTGCCCACGATTTCAGTTCTCCGTATGCATCGAAGGGCGAGTTCTGGTTGGAGGAATTCGAGAAGCTCCATAATGGTAAGACATTTACTAGCCACACCTTCAATGCAGCTCTTCTTTCACTGTCAGCTCAGAAACCTCAATACAGAAGCGATATCAGGTGAACGTATTCTACGTATCCGACAAGTTCTCATCGAAGATCAAATTGATCAACTTATTCCAAAGTGCTCCTTCCAGATTCAATCCTGATGGCGACATCAAGGCCACAAAAATGCTGATGAGAGTCCGTTTATTGGGAACAGCTAACGAAAAGCCACGAGCTGAAGTACTACGAAAGACAATGTTCGGAAGAGTGGTTCAATAGGTTTTGTCTACTGAAATACAATGGTTTATTGTTTATCCGTACTTGTTTGGAAATAGCAAAAAGCCCATATTCGGATGCATGTAAGCTATAGCTCCAGAATGCGACCTGCTCTTTTCTGTTCGACTTTCATTTTGTACCTGGGGTAAATCGTAGGCAAAGACAATGGTTTCGATAGCTGTGAGGTGGAGAGTCACAAAGGAGGGAGTTCGTCGTTAGTGGATGGGCACTGGTGGCCGCCCTTAGTTTACGTCCCTTTTTGCGCTAATGTTGGCACTATATCGCTCTAGGGTGCAGACAGGCCGTCGCCGACTCCCCCTCCCATATCTCACTGTACTCTTGCTTCGCTGCTTTCAGGGTTGAGTTCCAAAAAAACGCACCGACGCGTCTGCGCGTCTCAGAGATCGCACGCGCCAAGTGCTCATGTCCCATGTGGTCAGTAAAGCAAGAACGCGCGCTGTCGTCGATGCGTTAATAATAAGGCCCACGAGCCCGCCGAAAATTACTCCGTTTGATAGATTAGGTGTTCGTAAATGCAGTGTTGAAGAGCAAGTTTTCTGGAAGAGAAATTTGAATAGCAAAGTTTTTGGAAAAGTTTTCCAAGAAACTTTTGGAAGTTTTCATTTCTGGTAACTGGCTAACCGGTCAGCGGATTTTCTGGGGGAAGTAGAAGGGTATTTGTAAGAACGCATGCAAGGAGGTTTATGCTGAGTGAGAATAGAAAAAGAAAGAGGATTTGTTTCCAAAATATTTCGTTGAGATCATATGCGATTCTGATTACGATGATGGGTTTCTATACACTAAATCATGCCATCAAGGAACCTCGTCAAAAATTTGAGTGTTGTTCCTTCCCTTTCTTGAAGGACGAATTCACGATGAAAAAGCAACCCATTCCAAATTAACCTAGGGATGGTGAATGGTACACGAAAGAAGGAAGAACCACGAGAGAACGGCCCAGAACCCGAGAAATGGGACCCCTTCCTTGCCCGTTGATTCGAGCATTGATGCGACTCTCATCGCTGTGCCCTCTTCAACACTACGCTCTCTCAGCTATCTAATCACTCGCCACGTATTGAACTACGGCGAGTGATCAGATGATCGGTGGGCGGAGATCGCCGACCCGCCAGCTTTGAGGCATGATAGGTCGCCGAGGTCAAATTTTTCCATGCGAATTGCGCGTCAGTTCGCACCCTCAGGAGGTCCGTGGGTCCCTCAACTAGGTCAGTTTCCCTTTCTTCGACCTTCATTCTAATCGTGAATTCCTCCTTTAATTACATCTATTGGTGTTAACGGCTTTGTGTAAGTTGCATTGTCTCTCGGAGATTATGGTAGTACACGGCAAGGAGAAACATATCTATTGATCGTAGAATAGAATAGTAGTAGATTAGAAGAGTAGGAGGTTAGGATAGTGCGCTGACAAGATTATATACGCATTGCTCGATTCGATGGAAGAAGACCCAATCTGCTACTCTCCAGCGATTCCTATCGATATGTATCTAATCTTGTCAGCGCAATATCCTGCTCTATTACTATTAATACTCTGTCGCCTAAAACTATATTAATACTTCTGGATCGCGACTATAAACGTCAGACTTAGCGAACGACTTTGCTATCAGTACGTTACTTGATAACGTTCAGTTCCGAAAAGATAGAATAGTACCCACGGCATTAAAACTGCAAAGGAAATATGATGGTTTCAGTTTTCTCCTTGTCGACCAACAAATGACTACCGTAACCGGGGTGATTACAAACGTGGTCACCGCCATTCTCACAATGCTCGTCATCTGCGTACTTACTCACTCCGGTCATACGCGTACTTATGGTATCGTTGTGGCATTTCTAGAAATCAGTTCAGAGTGCCGTTGGCAGGTTCAGTGCTAGGGCCAACACAGAGCATTCAGGTGCCTCGACCGCTTTCGGCTACCTGCATCGCAGTCTCCATTCTCTCAATCAATCTAGGAGTCGTTGGAGCGCTTTCAGCCGCCGGTATAAGATTGGACATCATCTCCATGATCACTATAGTGATGAGCATTGGATTTTCTGGTGAGGAATACTAATACTGCCAATAGTTCACAAGAATGCTGGGTTGTGAACAAAACTTTCGCCCCAGGCGGGACTAGAACCCGCACCTCTCGCTTTCCGGGCAAGTGCGCTACCAGTTACGCTACCGGGGCACCATTTCATTCCAACTCAGCTTTTCATGGTGTACTCGCCATACTTATCCTAATACCATTCTACTGTCGTTCCAAATCGCTCAATTGATGTTTAGTTGACTACGTGACGCACACCACCTTCCACTTCATTGTGCAGCGCAACGACAGGCTGAAGGTATTCCCCGCTGGTTTTCATGAGGACTTCGGTAATAACAGAATGTCTCGTTTCAGAAGTGCCTAGTTGTGATGACGGAACCAATACTGCAGGCAGCTCTGTCCACTGTGGTGGGCGTATCTCTGCTAGGCACTTGTTCCATCCTACATAGTCCGAACGTTTGTGATGACCGTGTTCGCTGTGGTAGGCATTGGGGTCCTGCATGGACTGCTCTTCGTCCCCGTTCTACTTGCACTCATGGTATGTCTCTTTGTTTAGGCTTTTCGCAACCAGAAAGGGAGGGGATTTCCGGCCTTTTTCGATTCAGGATCTCATTCCAAACCTCAGTACAAGTACACAAGTATTGTGTTTCCTAACCTTTTCTCTGGCACCGATCAATCATGGCTGTCGCTGTGATTGACGTTTCATTGCGCCTCTCCTTGCCTGAGCTCCTAAAGAAGGGTTTCATGATAAGGTCGTGGGAATAAGAGGAAATATAACTAGTGGAAAGACAGACGGTTGCTCAAGGGTGTGGGACGACGCAGTTCGTAGAAAGGATAGTCGCTCACAGGACCATTACCGCGCCCTCATGCCGCTGCCCGCCCATCCGCTCGCCGTCTGACTCCAGCTTTTTTTGCGGAGAGAGCGTTAGCGTTGATGAGGTCAGTACCGATGAGGCACTCCTAACGCACAAACCAACGGGCGAGAGGGGTCTCATTTCTCGGGTTCTATTCCGTTGTTAATGATCCTTTCTTCATCCCTCATCACTGGCCACCTCTACCTTGATTTATAGTGACCGACTTATCACTGTCTCCGCGTTTATACCACGGTGAGCGTAAAGATAAGTTGCGCCAAGGCGGGTAAGGCAGTGAGCCAGCCTTCATCACGTTCTAGGGTCTGTAATCCACTGTGGGATACCTTATGCACCAACCCCTTTTTCCTACTCCTCAGCGCGATTTATATAGACGCTTAATAAATAGCTTGATGCTGATGGAACCCTTTCACTGGATGCGTCACGAATTGAAGTTCCACTCCCAGTGGTGGCGCATATGCCGTGAGCAGTGATCTATGGTGCCATCGGGGTACGAGCCCGGTGGTTCGTTTTCCGATGGTAGTCTAGCGCTAATTCATCAAACGAAAGAAGATAAGTTGCCTATACTTCGATCCACCATCGGAGTGCTATAGCAGCGTCACATTCTCATCCTACTACGGGGGTGGGGGCAAAAAAGGAGTCACTTTGCCGATGGCGCATATCATCGAGCTTTTCGTCGCAAAGGATGCCACAATTATTGAGATTATACGGCGCAGAATCAGGATCACCTTCGCTGCTTTCACCGTCCCCAGAATATGACGTCATCTGTCATCACCGTCGAGCTCAAGGAGGCCTACCATAATCGCTCCATTCTGAAGCTGCTACATAATTTCTTCAATCGGATAACTGGTGAATGGCTTCTTAGGGACACTAGACGGTTTCTCGACGACATCGTTGACATGGCGACCATGTTTCCGTGGGAAAATCTTCTGATGTCGTCGGTGTAGAAGGCCCCATGTAATTTTTTGATAGAATAGAATGTGCTCTTCAATATGCAATTGAGCTCATTCGGTTTGGTTTTGGCAAAGTGTAATTAATTCTGTTTTGAATGTGAGTGAGAGTGACTCTTTTTTTGGCCCACCTGTCAAACAGCGCGATTTGCCCAATTCCTCGTTTTTCATGCTCTTATTTTTGTGATACCTCATCCTTTCTTGGTCCAACTGAACATTTTGTTCGGTTGCTCTAATGCTAAGCGTCAATTTAGAACACATAGAAGAGTGGGGGGGGAGCGTCATTTATTTTGGA